CAGTCCTGCACTGAACCCTGAGCATCTTGCAAGTGGCCTGTCTGCTCTTTGAGGAGCCCAAGCAATCTTCACAGACCTCATGCTTTTGGGTTAAAAAAAAAAAAAGGAAGAAAAAAAATAATTTTTCAGTGATAATAACAACTGCAGAAAACTCCTGGGTGTGAGACAATGCAGGTGTCTTCATACATTTCAAGATCAGAAAGAATGACTCTGTGACTCCAATCTATTTTCCAATGTAACAGAGGTTGTTACTGCACAGTCTACAATAATTATGCTACAAGAGTTACGAACTAGTTCTTGGCATAAGTGGGAGGTAGCTCTGAAGCCTGATGACAAACACTTCAAACAGCAACTCCCTGAATATTGTTGCAACATATAGCTACTGCAAAGTTGCTTTGTACTATGGTAGGAATTTAGGGTAGGTGAGACCCTTCAAGCCACTGTATTTTGGAATATTTTTTAAGGACTTTGCTTTCCTTTTGCTCATCGAAAAGCCTGACGACCAAACTATAATTAAGCCTCTACCCCACCTTCTGTTATACTAATTATCTGGGAAAAGATTAATCTAGTCAGCTATTTCCTTTACCTGCATATATTTCTTCTTCATTGCCCTCCCAGACGTTCTGCCATACAGACAAGTCTCCTACACGCACACTCATATTCGTGGCCCATATTCGTTGGCCATACACAACCAGCAACTACTGATTAATAATGACAATTTTCAGTTCACCTACTTCCTCACTGAAATTGCTATTTCTTTTTATCATTTGCACAGGGGAATTGCAGCCCAAATTACTAATACACACTGAGCTGCCACTCCTTGTGTAGTTATGACAGCTTTCACTAGACCTAGAGAAGTGTTTGGGGCAGGATTCATCCCTCAGAAGGGATGAACTTACACATAGGAGAAGCGTAAACTGGCACAACAATTTTACAGCACTTGCTCTCCCAGGTGAGAATAATGGTTGGATATAACTAATACAGGGACTCAAGGTATCTTCAGGTGCAATTAATGAATGAAGAGCAGCCAATTCTCAGGTGGAAAGTGGCAGGTATTTTACCGCATGCAGTTTTGAGCACTGTATTAATGAGAATGTGATGTTCCTTTGCTTCTAAGCTGCTTTAAAGCTGCCATTTCAGCTTTTGTTTATTTAGTTAAGTGCTTGGTGCCCTCATTGGGAGCTGTTGGATAGCAAGGGAGACAGTAAGCACTCTCCAAACGGATGGATAAGAAAATCCCATTTAAGCTGTTGTCATGCTGCCAGATCCACCTTCCACATTTGAAAAATGAATAGGACAACTAATTATATCCTCTTTGATCAGGGAGATACCAAATAGTAGCCACGCCCTTCCCACTTTTAACTAAGAGGAAAATTTGTCCCTCACTAGACAGTTTCTGCTCTCTGGGACACAAGGACTGCCTGTAAGAGCCAAGCATTTTCAGTCTGTTGACTCAGGGCTGTAAGCACCAAAAGACTGTTCCTTCCGAGGGAAACCACTGCCATTCGGACCTAAAAAGAAAGGGCAATATCGTACCTCAGCGTCACTCCACACCCTGCAGCACTCCCCCTGCTGCTACGATTGCCAGCGCCAAGATCTACTGCATTTCTTCAGACAGAAAAACAAAAAATAAACCAGGTTGCTGCCCACCCAGCTGGGGCCTGAAGATCTGCTTACTGGCAATAAAAACATGCTGCTTGCCTATGGGGGATGTCAGGAACAAGGCCAGTTGTACTAAGAATAGATTTCTGTTGAGGCTTCCTCAGTAAGTTTATGACAGAATTGTATGGACATGGAGAGTAAATCACTTACCTTAAGAAGAGGAGACAGAGTAAAAAAGAGAAGACAGATGGGGTGTGCTGGGAAGTGACTCAGTCTAGGTAATTATCCAGTTAAAAGGTAACAGACAGACTTTAGCAGGTGGTGAGAGAAATCCCTTCTTCCCATTCTGACAGCTCTTCCAGCAGGTTTTCTCAAGTGGAAGACCATTAGGGTAGAAAAGACCTGCCCTGTGCTGCTGTCACGGCTTTGTGACATGGCGAGTGGTGAAGCAGTGTAACCTCAGACCAGAACCCTGTGTCCAAAATGCAAGTGTTCCTTACACCATGACTCTGGCCTGGGGACAGTCTTTGCTCTTCGCTTCCAGGGAACCATGCCTCTGCAGGCTGAGAGCAGCCCTGGCGGCGAGCAGGTCTCAGCATTGCCCCCAGGTTTGTCCCCGTGCCCCGTCAGTGCCAGCCTCGCACCTCGCCCTCGTGGCAGCTGAAGGGTGCAGCTTTCCCACAGCTTCCAGGTTCACACAGTCCGCCTGTAAAAGGTATGTCCTTGCAGAGGGTTGTGTATCTCACATGACCGTAAATGTGCTCATGCCCAGACCCCCACTGTTGTTTACAGAACGAGTTTTGTTTACTTCAGTTTACAAAGTAAAGCCACAAGCTTTAATTCTCCCTAAAAAAAAAAAAAACATCTGGGGAAGTGCATGATTCAGAGTGGCTTGGTGCAAATTTTTGCAAAGTAACAGACACAAAATCAAAGTAATTCAAATTACACATACACATAAAACAAAAGAAATTCAAGTTAAAACCAGGACTGGATTCTTATTAGCCTTAGAGATGATCCCAAATATTTCAGGAAATAAATAAATCATTCTAATTTCACCATAAAAGATGGGTGCTGCTCACTAATCCAAATGGTTTGGGTATTTACAGAAGGCAAACGGGTTAGAGGAGGAATAAAAAGAAGAAAAGCATTCAGAAGTGAAATGAAGGGTGCTGCAGGGTTATCCCTTCCCCACATGCCCTACTGTGACTAAGACAAAGCTTTAAATCACTGCAAGGGGCCAAAGAAATTCCTTTTGAGGAGGATGCCATCATCTGCCCCACACTGGAGGGACTGTGCCAAGGTGAGACCAGCATGGTCTACTAGGTTTGGCTGTCACCACAGAGATTCTGAAGCTCCACTATAATCCATGGCCACCCTGGGGCAGATGACAACAAATAAATTGACCTGGTCAGTCCAATTTATGAATAGGAGGGCAATTTATCCTAGAATCCTGCTTAAAGCCACAACTTCCTGGCCTGCGCTGGATTGTGCATGCTCCGAGGAGGCACAACTAAATCTCTGTTCTTCAACATGTAAGCACGGCTGGTGATCAAAACACTCGGCATTTCCACAGAGGCCAATAGCTAGGGTGCCTTAGGTGACTGCAAGGAAAAGCAGGCCCTTTCAAGTATCTCTTTCAACATTTGCAGACCACAGGACACAAAGCAACACCCTCATTTACAAAGGCTGTGTAACTTGTGCTCATTGCTGGTATTTCTGATGCTTTGTTACCAAATAATAATCTGCCTTCTTTTTGCTGCACGTGTTATTAAGGCCAAATCCTGACGGCTCGGAGCTTTACTTTTGGTGCAGCCAGTAGAGCAGAAGATGCTTAATGCCCAACAGAAGCAGGGCAATTTCTGCAGTTAATGTCATAGCATGCAAAAAAACATCCTTAAGGCTCATCCTAACCTTCTGTTTCCTTGTCAAGACGGACTTACTTACAGTCAGTACCACAGGGACTAGATTCGAATGGCAGTGGTGTTACATCCATATTTTTAATGGGATTTGACATTTAAAGCAGCATTTCAGTTCACCTCTAAGCCTGCAATTACACTTGCAAATCTGCTTAGGAAGACATCAGCAGAGTATCCCAGGGGACCGCTCAAACAGATTGGTTCTGTTCCCATAGAAGCAGCATGTGAGTACCAAGTGATGCTACAAAGTAGGCACTACAGACTGCAGTGCCTGACACAGACACTTGCAAACTGGACTCACTCCTATTCTTCAAAATAAAAACAGAACAAAACAAAAGACTGCAAAGAGCCCTTGCTTTATCTTAAAAGAAACACTGCGCTGAGTCAGATACCACTGGAGGTCAGGAGCACTTCATGAATACAATACTGAGACAGACTCCTTTCTACACCCCACTGGTTATCTTTGGTCTCACAAAATCTGCAAGTGCTAAAAGTACCAGAGCAGCCCATGGATGAAATCCTGTTTGTCACCTCCTGGTTTTGGAATCACGATGGCCCAGTGCTGAGAAGCACTTTTATGTCTCCCTCACAAGTGCAGACTCTGCCCAGCCTCTCCTTCACAAAGGAAATCAATTTAGATTTCTCCTTTCATTGTAGCTCTACCACTGCTGAAATTTTGAAAGCAAATTGATGCCAAATGCCAGGATGCTCAGAACTATATTTTGCCCCCAATTTACACACCCACCCCTCCTTTGCACCCTGTTTACACCACCATCCCCAAAGGTACGACTGCAACCAAATAAAGTACATATGAAGTATTCAGCTGAGCCTAAATGTATACTCAGTTCTCTTCAGGTCTGGGGAAAAAAAGTCTGATTTGTTCAGATTTGGACATTTCATCCATGCCTATAGGAGGCAAAGTGAAACATGTCCTCTCACAAGCCACCTGAGCTGATCTTTCTGCAGGATGCAAATGGTTTCATCCCTGAGTTCAACTTTAAAAGAGAAAAATGCAGTCCTCGGCCATCACCACCCTAGGGCCAGAAGCAAGAGAACATTTAGCACAGAACTCTCTGCTGCAGGAACAAAGCGCAAACAAGCAGCACAAATCTGAGAAAGATGGAGAAAAGCAGAAAGAGGCTAATTTGCATCATACCAAAGAAACAGAAGGAAACCTGAGGCCAAAGGGTTTGGACTAGTAGAGCAAGAAAGCTTACAGAAGGTAGACTGTGCTGTTCAACAGTAAAATCTTTGCAGCTCTCAGTGTTCATTTGGGAGCAGTCCGGTACCTCCATCAACAATGATCCCAGACAGGCCAGAAAAACAAATCCAGAAAACATTCCCAAAGAGACGTAAGATCCCTCAAGGCCATTTCAATAACATGAGCAAAACTCAAATGTTTATCTTTTTTCCCAGCAGGGATGACATGACACTTTGTCCAGCTTAGTGCATACAGTTCTCCTCTCCTCAGCAAGACTTCTTCTAGCTGACCGATGTGCAGTTCAGCTCTGCGGGGTCCTGCCTACCCACTGCTGTGACTCCCTCTGGCCCATCGGCAATACTGGGCTCACTGGAGCACTGCCTGTGGCTAAAACTGGGCTGCAGTAGGAGGCATTTGTCGGTATTCTCTGACTCCTCAATCACCATTCCCGTGTGCATTATGGAGGCCATTGCCAGGAGCTGAATATCTGAGTGAGCATTGGCAACAGTGTGACGACGGATGCTACCACATTTCTCCAAGTAAGCTTCACCCTCCTGCTCTGTCAGTGGGGTCAGGGCCATCTCGCTGGGCTGCCGGCTTGTCACCACGTGAGATGAATAATTCAGTATCCCAGTCTTAGGACGGGATCTGGAGTACCGTCTCTCTGGAAGAGAAAAAGGAAGCAGGAACGGTCAATGGGGCGCAGACAAAGCATCATCTCAACTGCTAGGCTGGCCTCAGGGAACAGAGAGGACTCAGCGTGCAGCCACAGAGCATCCCACCTCACTACCACCAAGGAACAGTCAGGTGCTCATTAATTCATACTGCTGGAGGTTTGCAAAGGAGGTCTGCCTCTTCCTGGTAAGGAGACACCTCCCATCCTGCTGTAAGGCAATGGTGCTGCTGCTTGCAAGAGAAGTGAGCCAAAAAGTAACGAGTGCAGCAAAGGGACTATCTTCAGCATCCTGATGGTCTCCCCTCTTACCCAGGGGGATGAGGACTGAGTAGGAGCTCTCACGTGCAGGTTCACTAAAATTAATGACACTTAAGTGGTACAAGTTCACAAAAAAACATTCAGTGAGGACCTGAGTTGCCACCCCTTTCTCTGGACAATTTCTCTCAGGAGGTGCCATTAGCTGGTCATTAGCTGGTGTCAATATGAAATTCCTGATGCTTACATTATGCTGCCTCTCCAGCTGCCTAGGCAAAGGTGGTTCTGCTAGCATTATCCCACTGTATTTTTTAAAGATCATGCAAGAAAAAGAACATTTCATCCACTTTAAAACATGTCTGGTTTTGGGGCTAGACACTGAAAACACCTAACAGTGCAAAGCAAGAGCCCACAACGGCCCGGGGGGAAAGGTGCAGAAGAGGACATCAGTCTTGCGGAGCACAGGTGAAGGAAGTGACACAGAACTGATGGGTGCAGGATCTACGATCTGCTTGGCAAAAAAACATTAAGGGGGAAAAATGCTTGGTTTAAAACTCAAACCCAAGGCCCAGTCCCCAGCTCTGTATCATGAAGCAGCATTTCAATTCTGACACTGAAAGCTTTAAGAAAAGCAGGGGTCAGAGTTTGGCTCACTGTAATTCACTCCTCTTGCTGGTTGAATCAGACAGTATTACTTTTCACCCGTCTTCCATCGCCGTGCAGCATTGCCATGTGGTCTATCCCCAAAACAGCTGATAAAGCTATTCCCTACCTGCGTCCCTGTTTCTCACCAACTTCCTTGAAGTGCAGGGTCTCATTTCAAAAAGTCAGAAGCCTTTAAACCATATAAAATACTTCCACCAGGACTGCAGAGCATAAGAGACAGAGTAACAAAACGCAAAGCAAAACACTCATCACTGAAGGTTGTAAAAGAGTTTTGGAAACTTGCATCAGGAAGAAAAGCAGAAAACAAACTCTATATTCTTGCAGCGAGGAAAGCCTGAGCAGCCAAAACTCCACAGCTGGCAGCAGCCAAGATTTGACAACACTTCACCCCACTGCTGCCAGTAATACATTCATTCAAAATGGTTCATTTCATGTTTAAGTCTATGTGCAAATAATTTTTGTTGCTGGTTATGATAAATATACTCTTTAGGTGTCATCTGCAGCTCAAGTCACAGCAAGCTGTAGTGTTTGAGGGCATTAGGAAAAAGTATTTTGAGGGTGAAGCCACTACACAGCTGCAGATTTTGTAGACAAGGGCTGAATCTTTGTTCTTCTCTGTTTCTATACAACACATTCAAAATTAAAACATGGTTCATTTAAACAGGGACAGCTTACAGCCCTTCTCAAAAAGCCAGGATACAAGGGAAAAAGAAAAATCACAGCCATGGCCTTATATCCACTTAATAGATAAATAAAAATATTCCCGTGAGGTAAAGATGGTGGTTTTGTGTGTAAACTTTTAGTGCTGCTGGAAGAGCCAAGCCTGATGACCTGAGAGATTAAAAGTCCACTAAGAGCAAGCATAATATAGGAAGCAATAATATAAAATTATTCCTGCCCAGCTTGGTGATCCTGCCTTCACATGAACTGGCAAAGAGATCCTGAGATCCTTTTCTGTTACGTTTGCTGTGGTAAAACGGTCAACTAGTATCATTAGTTACATCAACTACCATGGTAGTTTTCAATCCAGCCTATCTGTATTCATCATTTCACAGGCTTATACACAATATATGAACTTGTGTACATGCTTGCCTGGGTGTGTACTTACACACACTGACTAGCAAACTGCATAGAGCTGATGCACATGTCAGTGTTTCAAAGTCTGACATCATTCAGCTCTTGAATATAATCAGAATCTGGATGGGGTGATTGTAAAAATGTGTTATTGAAGGAAACACCAACAGTAATTCAGAAGACCACACTCTTCCCCTCAGACCTATACCAGCATGGAAACAGAAGCATTCCACCACCTCCTGCATGCAAAAATAAAGCAAAGGTCCCGAGTTGGATTATACTGAAGTAACTACTGTAACTCAGACACCCTGCAATGCACCCAGAACTGAGCAGAGGTTGCAAACCCACCCAGGAATCTGGACTGACATGCAGGCAGCATGCACTGGGGCTCATGCTGCCACAACACCGCTGCTGTTCACCTAAACCATGCAGCTGGTTACCAGCATGAGCATATTTATCCTAAAAGTAGAAGCACATTTAGTCAGCATTCACATAGCATGTTTTTTAAGTAGGCAAGATAGCAGTTTATCCCCAGTGAATACTTTAGTTTGGAGAAACTAAACTTTAACTCTTCTCTTGCTTTCTATTCTGTTATAGTCAAGCTGCTACTTTCTGTCCCAGAAACAGCAGCATTTCACTATACTCTTCTTGCCTCCATGATCTTTTGAGATGACAAGGCTGCTGCTCAGACACTGTGTTTCAGATGCAGCTGAATGTGAAACACTGTAGTAGACAGCAGAAGAGTTAATCAAGTGACAGAAGAAGCCAGTTTTGAAAATTACTGAAACTCCCCTCCAACTCCTCTTAAAGCAGTCTTACCCACCAACCAGGACGACACTACCACTTCACTGGTGGACTTGGAAACCCAGGTGTTTGAGTATCTGAGTATCTTTGATAACCTAGATCTTCATCTGTGTCAATCCCTGACCATAACGTTTTATAGAAGCTGGGACACAGGAAGGAGGAGGAAGGCAATAGTGGTGTTAAATAAACTAAAGAGGTTAAAGGACAAAGTGCTTAAATTTTATCTGATGTAGCCACAGGAATTATCCATCTTCACAGGATCACAGCAATGGTCCAGTATCGTGCTGTCACAGCAAAATGGGTTGGACTCCAGAGAAAAGTGTGTTCGAAGCACATGTGACAGAGCTGGTGGCAGTCAATGGAAGAAGATAGAAGACTTCTTTGTTTTTCCCCCCACCGGCAAAGGTTTTCCTGAAGTTGTAGCTGTAAGCGCTAGGACTGGGAAGGCTTGCCTGGGCAGTTACAGGAGGCCAGGTGTTACGTAACTAACATGAGAAGAGGAAACACAGTTTGGTCACCACTTACTAAGGCTACTCAGTCTTCAGCTCAACTGCAGAAACAGGCCTGCCTTTGACTTCTGAATTTGCTAACTCACTTAAGACCTGATAGGTCTCTGCTCTTATTTTCTCCCCACAACAGTAGCAAAGACATTCTTAAGACATTAAGCAATGCTTTCTAATGCCAAGGTTGAGGGCTGCAAGAAACTGCCCAGAGGAGTTGAGGAGCTTCCCTCAATGGAAGTTTTTAAGAGCATGTTAGCTGTAGAAACGGCTTATATGACTGACCAGGTAGTGAGAGATGAACAGTGAGGAATTTCTCAATGTTTATTCTCTTCAAGGGAGGGATGACCTGACTCTTTTGAGGAAAAAATATCCACAGATTATTTTTGTGCAACAAAATTAAAATCCTTTATGATGAGAATCAGGTAAAAATTGGGCTAAACTCTGAACATTCATTTATTGCTTTACTTTTCCCCCTTTACTTTCTTGGACACAAAAGACAGTCTCTTAAGGGAGTTGTCATGCATAGTTTAACTAAAAATTTTATTTCTATTTTGGTGCATTATGGCCCGGAACATAACTGGGAAGAGTTTTTAAGGGATTTTTTGCAAGCAAACTCAAATCAACAGTGATGTTAGGTTTAATACAGGGTGGAGGGGAATAGGGTGAATGTTTTATCTTTTTCTCTATTCCCAATTTAAGCAGTGTTTCTTAGACAACTGGATCCCTTCAGTATACTCTAACCTTACAATGCAGGTTACAGCTAATTTACATGGGCAAAGCAAGAAGGGTGGGAACAGAAGAGCAGGTGAGGACACTGCCCTCTACTCGTCCCCTCTGTGAGCTGTCCTGTCCGCTTTCACATCTATCCCTGCTGCACTCCTCTCTCACTTTAAATCAAGTTTAAGACACAGCAACCTTGCAGGCTGAAGCCTTATGTGTATTCACAGCTGTGATGAGACACCTTCAGTCACGTTTCTCAACGCTCCTTCATCTTGACAGCTCCAGACCAGAGGGCAGTTTGGCCTCCATAGCATCTGTTGAGAATGCAAGTGTACCCAAAGCCCAACAGTGCATTTCCAAAAAAGCTACTACAGGGAACCTACTGGTGTTCATCATCATTACAGGCTGCCCAGTGAGAGAAGAAACTGGTTCTGAGAAAGCAAAAAGGTGACAGAAACAGGGAGAGAGGAAGAGAAAAAAGTTTGATTAAAAGCAGGAGTTAAGGAAAAGAAACCACCACCACAGCAGCACTTTGAAAATACCAAGATTATTTGCAGAAAAGTGCTTCTCTGCTGTCAATGTTGTGTAAAGCAAACACAAGTTCTTTCTTTCCTCCTGCTCAGCACAGGGAGGAGCAGGGCCAAAAGGCCACCTTGGAAATACACACAAGTAAATGACAGCTAAAGCTAAAATCAAACCATATACAATGATTTTAAGGCACATAAAATTTACAAGGCCAGTACACGTGAATTTACTCTTTTTTTTCATGACACTTTTCAGCTGGCAGAAATCCAGGCTGGCTAGAAACTTCAGTACAGGTCAGGCAGCTACCTTTCAAACTATCCCAGCAGCATGCAGGTGTCCATAAAAACCAAAATAATTAAATTTGTCAAAGCTCAACTTTTACAGGAGAATGTGGTCCAGATTTAGCCTCAGGATCAGGTCTGCCAATCAATGTTGACTGTATAACCATATTCACATGCATAAAAGATATTTAATCGCCCAACAACCACAAGAACAAAACCCCTGAGCTATAGTTTGCCTAAAGTGATGCCATGAGTTTGCTACAGGCACAGATCATCTGAATCTTGATAAATGCACGACTATCTGCAAGACTATCTTTTCCCCTGTGCTGCTAAGGTGTAGTACAAGACAGGTTGTGTGTCTCCAGCTTGCTACAATTTGCATTGAAGCAAAGGCTAAAGCTTATAAAAACAGAGGGAGACCGGAGCTTTCTTCACTTGTTCTATTTAAATCTTCTTGACTGTCAAATCAGTATCACTATGCCCATTTGTTAACTAGCCAATCTTTTCTGGCCGGCCACACGTGTAAGCCCAGCTTCTGGACCATGTGTGGAGCAGTTTTCCACTATAAGCATCCCTTTCCTGAAGTGAAGTGCCAGTTCTCTCACTTATACCCATTTATGCACAGTTTAAGCACAGATTTTGGGGTTTTTTAAACAGAGTTCTCAGATGGAAGGAAGACTCCATGGAAAAAAACCCTGTAATCCCTCAGAATGAGTGTGCAACAGCTTTGCTGTTTGTGAAGGCTGGCTGATGCAGCAGTAAGTGTGGGAATCCAGGCAGCCGAGGCTGTCTGGGCTAGCAAGCAGGGACAGAGAACAGGCAGCAAAGGACCGGGTGCAGCGTCTCACCGGGGTGAAAGCAATATGTCAGGCATAGACCAGCTCCTCTCCAGAGAGAGGGAAGACTGCACATGAGTGTGTGCATGGTGGTGGGGCAGTAATAGTTCATTCAGTCATGGAAAATAAAAAGCCTGTCCAAAAATCTACATTCAGAAATATATTCATCAGGACCCTCTCGAGGGTGTTTTAGCCTTTGTTTTCTGTCTCTCATGGATTCATGCACTGTCTCCTTTCCTAGCACAGATGTGCACTGCCTAACATTAGCCAACCTGTGTACCCCAACAAGAGCTTCTGTACAAGGGGCATGTCTTACCAAGCAAGCAGGTGCTACCAGAGAAGCTGTGATCCTCACACAAACCCAAGTACGGTGATACCACCTGCTTGACCAGTTCTTCCAGCTTTAGGTAGCCCTCACTGGGGCCAGTGGGCTCATGGACACTCTGAAATTCAAACATAAAAAGATAACATTAACCTTACATATTTTTGAGCAAGGTTTTTGAGTAAATCCTGGGGTTTGTCAAATATCTCTGCACTGGAATATCCCAACCATATCAGTAGACCATTTAGAGGAGCACAGCTGATAAGCCCAAATGGAGGTTCAGGTGCCATTCAGATCAACCTCCTTGTTCAAGTCATAGCTATAACCCTATAGACATCAAGCAGCTAGCTGTCTTTTTTCTGACCAAAGGTACAACCACACTAAGGATCTGCACAGTGTAACTACAGCGATATAATTATACCAGGACAGTTCTACCAGGAAACATCTGTTTGTAGAAAACCCTGAACACACCTTGGGCAAAGCACTGCTCTTTCC